AGGGGCCCAGTAGCTGTTGCGACCACCCCCATGCTCTCCACCAATATGACGCCAATTGGGACTTCGATCGAAAAGGGGCTTATGGGGATGGACATAGGCGCCCATTGTGTAAATGGGCCCCAAGAATCTGGCATTTTTACCCCTTGGCAGCCTGAGCAAGCGCCCGTGGCGGCTCCTTTTCTACCCCCAGTGCCACAATTTCAGTCGGGGCGACCTGGGAATCCGTTGCGTGAACGAGCACTACCGGCTCCTGATGCCCACACCGTTGGGCTCACGATGTTGCCCCGCCCCATGGCTACCCCTGGGGACATTATGGACAATTTTCGGGATGCCGGCACCGTCGACGAGCGTGACTGTATCGAACAGCTTCTCATCATCAGCGGCATTGAGCCCCATCCTGGACCGGACGCCGGGAATGACTTCTCTGGGCAGCTTTTGGACTCTTTGACGCACGACACCCTTCAGTGGGTCTTCGATGCGGCCCGTTGGGCAGCCAAGGGCCCAGAGTTCGCCCACCGCACGCGAGCCTTGCTGCGTTTCTTCCGTCCGGGCAGTATGCCCCACCGAAGGATTGCCAAACTTGCCACTGATATCAATGGCGAGCAGCTGGGCAATGCGGACAAATGGACCAATCTGACGACCCGGGTGAAGGCATTATTGCCTCACAATCCGCTTACGGAACAGGACTACCTTGCCCGGATGCAGCGCCGACCGCAGGAGACCTGGACCGATTTTCTCGACCGTTATGCCCTCTATGCTGACACTTGTGAGCATGTCTCGGGGCCTATTAAAGCTGTCGAGCTTTATCGGAAGCTGCCTAAGGACATGCGACACCAAATCAGCTACCTCGCGCCCAATGCGGATCTGTCCCAGCTCTTAGAGGCGCTCCGTGGTGTCCGTTACTGGGCCAATTGCACTGGGGACAAATCCACTATGTTTGATCCTATGGACATCGATCTCCATGGCCAAGCTCGCAGTGCCCAGTCTCTCCATGGCGTGTCTGATACGGTGCCGTTTGAGGATCAATATGGCCTTGGGGTCCGCTCTAGCCGCCTCCAGCATCCTGTCTTGCGAGGTGACACCATCGTTTTCAAGAACATTGACGGCCCCCGCAGCCTCATGACTGCGTGGAAAAAGTTGGTTTCCACTTCGCCGTCTCTTAAACGTGAAGTGGAGGATTTTCTCGCCCGTCGCCATCCCCGCAAACAGTTGCACGAGCAGGAGGTGGAATTTGGGGAAGATTTTGGCCAGGTCCACACTGGATTTACTGATGGCGAAGACGATTTTTGGGATGACGCCTTCCACGATTGTGAGCCTGACCCCGATGAGGAGTGCAATCAGACTTTGACTCTTCCATCTTCCTGTCGCGCAATTCAGAAAAAGTCTCTTTATGTGAAGGTCCGTATTGAAGGTGTCGATGTGCTTGCACTTGTGGATACCGGGGCTACTTCATCCTTTATTCAGCAGCATTTGGTGAAGCGACTTGGTCTGTGGGATTCCGTGCGACCATGCCATCGTGAGGTCCGTTATGGGAATGGCGACTCCGAGCCTATGGTTGGGGAGGTCACCCTCCCAATCAAGGTCGAGGGCACGGACATGCTCACGCCTGCCCATGTTCTTCACAGCAAGGGGCCACCTCTCATCATGGGTTTTACATTCTTGGAGGCCAATAAGTTGTTGGTTGATTGTACCTCTAGAGCCTTGACCCAGAAGGATGGCGGTGGGCAGGTTAAATGTCTCCAGGTGCAGGCCCCGCAGGCTACACCAGCTACACTTTCTACTTCCTCCCCTTCTTGCTGTCCAACCCAGTCTTCAACTCTACCACTGCTTGTTGACCGCTTCCCCATTCAAGGTTGTCTTCCATCCTATCCAGCAAAGAAGTTCTCTGGAGATGCTGCTTTCGATTTCTTTGCCCCCACGGAGATTCGCTTGAAGCCAGGGGAGCGCCAGACGATTGACACTGGTATTGCTTGCCAGTTTCCCGCCGGTATGTGGTGCTTGGTAAAGGGCAAGTCGGGTTTGGCTCATCGCTATGGCCTGCAGGTATTGGGTGGGGTGGTGGATGGCAATTACAGGGGCCGTATCAAGGCTATCTTGGTCAACACTGGCTCTGCCCCCGTCACCATCCCGTGCAATGCTGCTTTTTGCCAGGGTGTTCTTTTGCCATGTTATTCACCTCGTATGGTCCCTGGCACCGTTCGGGTTACCGGTGAGCGAGGGACTAGCGGTGGGGTCAACCGATACATGTTGGGAAACGGGGGGAGGCGCGGCCCAGCGGCGGCTGTGGACCGCGACTGAGCACCTTTCAGTCGCCTCGGGTAGCTGTAGCTGGGGGGGATGGATGGCGTAGTCGACAGCCTGTTTTTCTAGATTTTCTTGAACGCCCTCTTTACCCTCCTTATCGCAAAAATGATCTTTTATTTTTGCCGTTGAATCGTAGTGTGGTCCTGGGGCCTTATGAGACACGCGGGATTAATTTGCCATGCAAGTTTCCAATTGGTTCTCTGCAGGAATATTTCGTGACTCTTCCCAATCGCCAGGTTACGTTTCTTATTAAAACAGATGGCGTTCGTATTTGGGGAGCTCTCAAGAATTTTTCTGCAGAGCCACAGCAATTGATGCCCCGCTATGATCTTTTAGCTTGCCGTTCCTCGGTTCAGTGGCTTCGCATTCCAGATAAGGGGGTGGTTTTGATTCCAGAGGGTCGCAAGGGACAGGGGTTTTGTCGGGCGATCAGGGAATATTCGGGGAATGCCGCTCCAGCCCCTACACCACAGCCCGCATGGTTGTCTGCCTTGCGGTCTAAATATCCTGCTGTCTTTCAGGCTGGGCTTGGGACGTGTCGCACGTATGTGGTTAGCCACTTTCCCTTTCGCTTTCCGCTTCCATGGAAATCCCAGCCACGTAATCCCATGACAGGGCCCGCGGAGGAAGCTAAGGTGTTAGAGGAAGTTCTCAAGTTAGTGAAGCTTGGAGCAGTACGTGAGGTAGACCACGAGCCGTTTGTGATTCCGGCATTCGGTGTGCCCAAGAAGAATGGTTCCACTCGGCTAGTTCTGGACTTTAGGAAATTCAACTCATGTATTCAGCATCAGCCTTTCCTGCCAGTTCATCGGGAGATGTCTTTAGCATCATTGCGCCCATTTCGCATTGGTTCAGCCTTGGATTTATCTAACGCTTATCTGCAAGTGCGGCTTGCTCCCCGCCTGTGGCGCGCAGTGGGATTGGCTGTGGCAGGACGGTTCTTTGAGTACACACGTTTGCCTTTTGGATATTCAAATAGCTCGCATGAATTTCTGCGAGCTTTGTGGCCTACTGTTTGACGAGTTTCACGCCGCATTCATTCCCAGATCATTTTTTATATGGATGATATTCTCTTACTTTCCCAGTCTACGTCCCAGCATAGGCGGGATATGGATATTTTATTTGAGGAGTTGGCGAGAGACGGGTGGCGAGTGAACTGGGACAAATGCCACTTTTGCCAGGACCGGTTTGAGTATCTGGGTGTCACTTTGACTTCTTCCGGGCTTCAACCTACAGCCTCGGTTTTGACTCAATTTGAGCAGGCGCCTATGCCTACAACCCAGTCAGGTTGGCGTCGAATTTGCGGTTGGTTGAATCATTCTGCTCGCTTCATCTGGAAGGGACATCTCGTGTTGGCAGCCTTGCGGGAGGTTCAAGCACCTCCTTCCTCAGAACGATGGCAACATTTTCTTTCCTTGTTGCGTCATCATTTTATTCGATGTGCTATTCCTGCTTCTGTTTCTGCTGGTTCCTTCACAGTTATTACTGATGCGAGTAAGATTGGTTGGGGTGCGGTTCTGCTTGCTGGCCGTAAGATCGTGCGTTGTGCTCATGGGCTATGGTCTACTGGTTTTCAGCACCATGTCAGCAATGTTATGGAGTTGGAGGCGCTCTGCCGAGCTCTTCGGACCTTCCGGCCTTGGATCTTTGGGGCCCCTGTTCACGCAATTATGGATAACCAGGCTGCGGTTAGCTTTAACAATCCTGCTAACCTTAGCGATTTTCTGAAGCGCCGTCTAGATCTCCTCTCTTGGTACTCTCCTCAGATCTCTTTTTGTCCGGGACCTTTTAATTATCTCGCTGATTTTTTATCTCGCCAGGGGGCATGGATCCAGGGACCTTCTCATGTTCGCGCAGTGGAAGAACATCGCTCTCCAGTTATATCCCAGGCACAATGGAAGCAGGCTCATGCCGGGCATTTTGGAGTAAAGAAAACGTTTCTTCGTTTCCGCCAAATGGGCCTGCGTCCAAAGTGGAAATGGGTGGTGGACAGAGTGCGGTCATGCAAGGAATGCCAGTTGTTTCACCGACCGCAACCATCCAACCCGTTTGGCAGTTGGCATGTGCCGGAGAGGCCGGGGCAGGTCATTGGCCTAGATTTTATGGGACCTTTTCCGGAGAGAAAAGTTGGGAAGAAGCGGTTTGTTCTTGTTATTGTTGACATGTTGACCAGACGGGCAGGGGCGTGGGCAACGGCTGGTGCCGGGGGAGCTGATATTGTGAGGGGACTGAAGAAGTGGGTAGCGACACAGGGGGCACCTTCAATTTTGTGTTCTGATGTCTGCAAGGCTACACAGTCCAAGGAATTGCGGCGATGGTGCATGCAGGAGGGAGTGACGCAGGAGTATTCTCCTCCCTACCATCACGCTTCTATCGGGTTTGTGGAACGGTTCAATCAAACTTTATTGAATCGTTTGCGGCGAATGTGGGCGGAGCAACCCAGGTATTTTGCCAGGACAGTTGAGCGAGCGGTGGATATCTACAATGGTACACCTCTATCTTCGCCAGAAGAGAGCAAAGAAACCCCTAGTTCGTTCACGTTTGGGTCGCCGGAGCAATTGTGGAATAGCTCGCAGGAAGTGTGGAGTCAGTTGCGTGAATATACGCGTCAGCAGCGAGAAATGGCGAACCACAGAACGAGAGGGCGGCGCATCGCGCGAATGTTCAAGGCAGGAGACCGGGTATGGCTGTGGAACACGAAGGTGGAAACATTGAAGGACAAGCTCGAGCCGTGGTGGAAAGGGCCGGGCCAGTTGATTCGTCCTATCACGACTTCGGTGTGGGAAGTTAAGGGACCCGAGGGGAAACTCTGGATTAGACATACGGATATGATACGGCCGTACCATGATATGGTTTAAACCGATGGTATTTCGAGTCATGTTTCAATTTAGCGCAGGGAAGCGTGTGAGGATAAGGAAAAGGTGTATAAGTAGTTAAGTGAGTGTGGTGCATCGGGTACGGTGTTTATTATGGCGACATGGAGAATGATGGGGAAAATATATGAATTGAATATGCTTGCGGTGAATGCTACATGACGGACAGAACCATTCTGTAATCCATCTGGTTGCGGCTTGCTTCCCGTGCCTGGGAGCGACCGTGTGTGAGCGCGAGCGAGGAGCGCGAACAACGAAACCACCTGATAATCACAAAGCAAGAACTGCACTTATGGCCTCGTAGTCGGTGGGTTATGACTCATGGACATGAGCAAATGCTGTCATAGGGATTGCATGTTGGAGTCACGAGTGGAGACCTCAGTGCCAACATTTGGCACTTGTGTTCGACGCACACGTTCTTGTGGAAACAGCAGCATTATGGGTGACTTTGACACTACATCAAGAATATTGCTATTCTTCCTTCCCAGCCGCTGGTTGAGAACAAGTGTTGCCGCTGCTGGGGCCGGTTGAGTATGTGCGACGACACACCTTGCTGACTCCACAAAGGGGATTCTCGCCAAGCATCCACCATAAGCAGTCTATCAACCCCAAAGTCCCAGGCGATTGGTTGGCCATGAAAACGAATCACAACCAATTTTAAATATGAGGCTGCAGTCAGGTGTCCATGGTTGTGTGGGCAGTCAAGGGAAGAGACTGCATGTCTGTATGGCAACCACCTTGCCAGCAATGCCAGTGAGCTACAGCTGTACTATTACCAATGGCAAGCTGGATACAGATTTTCCTTGGCTTCGCACAGCCTGGCAAAGGTCAATGGGATGCCTTTGCAGGGGCAAGTTCGCGTTTCTTGAGGCCCAGCCTAGCGATCCCCATTCGTGCAGGAGATCTCCCATCAGGCTGCTCAATTGGGCCAGCAACAAAGAAGTCCACTGCCCATGGACCAGACCAATTGTCTGTCCATGCATCTGCAATCACCACAGATTGTGATCATACTTGGTTGCCCGCGGAGCTGAAGAATGGGCCGCTTTCGGTGTTGCCGTTAAAGAAGAAAAGTCGATGACGCAAATCTGTAAGCTGTCATGTCGCCGTTTCCTGGACGGCATCTCAGATACCCACAACCTGAAATTCAAAAACCGCTGAAATCCCCCTGCATTGCCTCGCCCCTTGTCCACCTGAGCCAGCGCCGAGGGCGGGCGGCAGGGCGTGCCTCAAATCAGCATGTCCACGTCTTTGGTGTCCGCCACGAACATGTGTCCCGGAGCGTGCGTGATCGCGAGGTCCAGGCCCGCGTTCCGGATGGCCATCTGCACCGTCACCCCGCAGGCCCAGAACACCGGCACCTCCCCCTCCCTCACCTCCGCCCTGCACCCGAAATCCGGGCGGTCCAAATCTGTGATCCCGATCGACGACGGATCTCCGATGTGAACTGGCCCGCCGTGCGCCTTCGGAAACCGCCTGGTGAGCTCCGCGGCTCGCATGACATCCGACCGACCCAACGGCCGCATCGACACCACCATCGGCCCCGAGAAGGGCCCCGCGGGATGGCAGGCGATGTTCGTCTTGTACATGGGCACCACCGTGCCCTGCTCCTGGTGCCGCAACGGCAGGCCGGCGTCCGCCATGGCGGCCTCGAAGGTGAAGGAGCAGCCCGTCAGGAAGCCCACCGTGTCCTCTCGCCAGCGATCGACCACGCTCTCCGCCTCCAGGGGCTCCTCCCCACTCCGCAGGATGCAGTACTTCGGCAAGTCGGTGCGCAAGTCGGCGCCCGGCGCGGCGAACCTGCTTCAAAAGACAACGTGTCAACCTGAAGTTCAACAAAAGCATCAACCTGTTCGCAAACAAAATGCATGGTCGGTATATGCGCCGCTCGTTCCGCCCTAAAAGTGCCAGGGCTTGATTTTGCGACGCGTTGTGGAGACAATTGGATCCGCCGCAGTTACAGTCGAAGCACCTGGGCTCCGGGCAGCCCGGGTCCGTGACGTCCAGCAGGGGGCAGGGCTTCGGGTTCCTGTGGCAGAAGACCATGAAGTCGAAGGCCACGGACGCCGGGAGGGCCGCGAAGTTCGCCTGCACGTATCCCGGGGCCAGGCCCGCCGTGGTCTGCGTCCAGGAGCCCGACCGGCAGGCGCGCCGGACGGCTGAGCCCGTGGGGAAAGACATCTGGCTGCCGGCGAACGATCTCATGCACAGCGTTGACAACGACTTGACGGTCAGGCCGTTCGCTGCTGCAGCATGTACATCCGCCTCGCGGCGTGGCTTTGCCGACAGTGAAGTCGCGGGCCAATTCCCAGGCGGCGCGCCAAGGCGTGCAAGCCCGGTCGGCCTCTCTGCCCCTCCCTGGGCCTCCACCCAATATGACAGTCCAGGGAACTCCGAAGGTGGCACGAAAGTACTGTCGCCCGGTTTCCACCTTCGAACCGGCGCCAATAACGTGTCGTCATCCCCCCACGTCACGTCTGGCGGTGCGCGCGGCACATCATCCGGTACAGATGCCGGGATCCCTGCAGCACTTTGCTGTAGTGCTTGAAACGACAAGCTTACAAGTACAAAATCTGCAGCACAGATTTTCAACGGCGTTCGGTCCTGAATCGATTGTTGCATCGAAGGAACTGCGAGGTGAGAACGGACGTGGAAAAACAGCCAACTGTCAAGTGAGCGGATCGCCTCTGAGGCTGATCACCGAGGTTTCTAACCCTTCCGCGTAGTAACGCAACGCTTAGCCTTTTTTTGGAGAAAACAATAAGTAAATAACGCTCTCTTAATAAAACCGTTTTGCGGAGCAACGCAAAACGATAAAAATAACGTTCTCAAAGACAAAATGCAGAGGACAAAGCGTGACGGCAAATTTTCGGATGCGGAAGGGTGTAAACTAAAACGGTAGTTGATGGGACGAAGCGAGTGCTCGTGGGCGCTCGGGTCGGCTGAGTCGATGAGCACGCACCCATTGTAAGGTTGCTAATGGATTCCATCCACAACTATGGGAGGTGAAGACACAGCACGAAACCAAAGCTAGCCAGCCGGCCACATGTGCTGTACGCCTGCTGCCATGCTGGCAAACACCACTGGCAACAATTTCCGATACTGCTGTTCTCAAGTGCATGAGTTTGTGGTGAGTCTTCCTGTTGAACAAAGTGCAGAGCTAAGCTCATCGACAAATGGCTACAAGCCATCGCCCTATTTCATGTGGCAAATGGCAGGGGGTGGGGTGCAGGACAACAACACAACGGCAAAGGAATAAAGATATCCTTGCATTTCGCTCCTTGAACAAATGCTATCACTCCTCTCTCCCGTGCCAACCAACGTCTGCATTTGCCCAAATGCACATTGGCCCTGCCACAGTTTGTTGCACCCTGTGCTGTGCTGTGCAGAGCTCCACCCAAAATTTCCACAGTACAGCAGAGGGCCTGGGGCCAACAATGACTGCACTGACTCTGCCTGCAGCACCCCTGGCTTGCTTTACTGAAACCACCAGACAAGTCGGCGCACTCAGCTCATGGATGTAGGGGATCAACCACGTACGATGCACGATGGGCACACAATGCATCGCTGGCCCATTCATGTTGACTGCTCCATCTCCATTACTGGCTCCATTCTGCTCTGTGAAGCAAGTCTCTCCTCCTCTGCCTTTGCTTTGGCTTCAGCTTCAGCCACCTGCTGCCGGAAACGCTCTGCCATTTCATCTGCCTTGGAGTACACGAGCGCCGGATCCTTGAGCATATCACCTGGCGTTGCCTCCAGCTTTTTCGTGGACAAAGAAACGCGTCTCCTAACACGATCGTAGCTCAAAACCATGACCTGCAAACACAAGTGCAGGGAGTCACACCCGAGAACCAGGTGCCATCATTCATAGGCGGCGGCAGCAATGCGAAAGGACACGCCACAAAGCCTTCCTTCAACACAGGCAAGCTCCTGCTGCACAATTTGCACTGGAAGCTGGCCGTCCCATGATAGCGAGCAGCGGCTCAGGAACAGAGCATCCAGAACTGGATGTGCTGTGAGCTGCAGTGGTGAGAGGGCACTTGTGCCCCAACAGCATGGAAGCGCACGATCAAGTCCCTCGAATGGCATCATCATCAGCGATTTGAAGAAGAGCTTGGAAGGCATGGGTCAGCCATGGACAGTTCCCAATGGAGCCCCATGCCCTACTACCCCACCAAAAGCAACAGTGCTGCATCCTACTCAACAATGCACTGCAAACATCCACCACAGTGCCACAGACCCGGTGTCAGCTCCTGAAACAGAACAGTGAGGTCCACAGAAGGGCACAGGCTATGATCATCGGCTCCATACAAAGGGAGGCACATAACGGACAAAAAGACCTACAGCATATTCCACCCATTTGCCACCTTCGCTGTTCATTTCGTTCAAGAGGCCCAGGGCCACTGGCCACGGGGCTGGCATTGGCATATATTGTCAGGGCATTACTGAGATGTTAGCCCCATCGTGGGCACCGTGCAACTAGACACGAGCACTATTGGCTGTGCTTTTATGTATCAGTGGCATCGCAGATCCATTTAGCAATGTGCTCTGCACGACAAACAACAACAATCAATTGTGGTGCTCTAGCAGCATGATTGCACCGAGTGTGGATGTCACATGCAATACAACTGAGGCGGTCACCCATAGTTTATGTGGATACATGACATTGTTGAAGCACCAACAACCCAATTACCTCCCACAGACACTTGGCATTATCCAATAGCAACAGCACATCACTGACTTTCGGACGGCATGAACACTCATCACATTGGTGATGTGTATGTGCCTACCTTGAGCCTGTCTCCTTCAGAGAAAACTTTGGTGATGTCAGCAACCCGGCCGTGTGTGATTTGGCTGACGTGCAGCAGTCCAACCACACCATTGCCAACTTCCACAAATGCCCCAAAAGGCTTGATGTTTGTGACAGTGCCGAGGACCACAGTTCCAACCTTGAACTCATCTTTGTTGCCACCCACATACACCCTATTGCTCACCACAACACGGTTCGTTGCCTGTGGCATAGGACGAAATATTTCAGTCAGTTGTTTCACTGAGATTCGGCACAGGGAACAGAGCCCAGGCAGCAACCACACCACAGGACAAGCAGATGCAAGTGAGTGGCACCCAGCCAGGGCATCGCCTGATGTTACTCAAAATGAGCTTTTGACAGAGATGTGCAACACAAAGGCTGAAAGACAGCAACGATTCCCACTGGCTGGTCAGTAGCTGTGCAGCCTGTAATGCACATGAACAGCCTGTACCTGTGGTGCTACGAGCACGTTTCATAACCAGAACAATGGTTTATTGTGATGGAAGTTGTGCTTTGGGGATACACAGGCTGAAACATGCTATAACTGACAGTCAGTGTTCCTCAGGCTAAAACAGCACAAACCAAACAATTTTCTGACAATAGCGGCAAAGTTGAATGGCGTAGCGACCTCTGCAATTTGGCATCTCAAGAATCTGTTGTACTGCATCACCTCAACAACACAACTCATTGCCACTAAGGGCAGCCAACCCAGTCCTCGGCTTCTGAGCTGATACCCAACGCAATGCTTGCAGGACCTTTAGCGGCCGAGAACACGCCACACCTGCTACGAGATTCATACATGACAGCTGCGGTTGTAAACAGCAATATGATGAGCACAGTCCAACATGCTTGCATTCAGTTGGACCAGGTTGCAATTCTTTGCAGGTGCAAAGGTGCTGTCAGAATCACTCCATCATACCTCATCAACATCCAGCAGCTTTACAGGACGTTCTGTGTCAAGGAGGTCTGTGCTCTTCAAGGAAGGCTGCAACAAGCACAACACAATAACGATGTCTCAGACACTTACACAACACCTTCCAATCAGACACTGGTTCAGGTCCCAGCACAAGCAAACGGTCTCAGCTTTGGCACAGGCATACCGAGGAACCAGCACAAATGAAGCCTTGCGTAACAACATGTGCCCCACACCCTAACCTATATCACCCCCCCGTCCCCCATGTGTATGCAAAATGCGAAGCATTAGTACGCAATGCGTGGCACTACATCACTGGACACTGAAATGTGATGCAATGTATGGAAAAAAGTGACTAAAAATTAACTCAATGTGATTCCATAACCTTGTTAAAGATGCACACACATTCTCACAGACACCCCAGCCTTGGAAGCCATGCATGAGTATTGCATTGTGTGCACATTCACATCAGCAGTGTTTCTGTTCCGAGGCCCAGGGCAACAAAGGTGTCAATGACTCACATTCGAGAGGTGGCTGCCTGGGAGGAAGCCTGGCACACCCAGCACAGACACAATGTAGCCACCTTTGTTGGCTGACACCAAATGAGCAGTGGTGACAACATCGTTCTCTTGCAACTGCCGTAACCGCTGCCAGGCGACGTTCAACTGCCCGCAACACACAGTCAACAATCGCAAAGCACATCCTGCCACCACGAAGCCTTTTCATCACACCCAAACACGTGCTGATTCACAAAGAAACCGACTATCCGGCCACAGAATATAACAAGATTCTTCAGTTATCCAAGGCATTGATCATGAACCACAGCAGCATTTCCTGTCAGCCAACAGAACCTGCCTACAGGTCATACAGAACTGTTCCCATCCAAACAAGACACGCAGTGCCCATTGCCTTTTGGTTTTCCCACAAAATGGCAGTGAAATAGCGCTTGAATGCAAGCACATTCCTCACCTCCAACTTCTTTAGGCTCATGATGTTGCAGCCCCCAGCGAACTCCCTTGCACGGCTGGAAGAAATGATCTCAAATTCTCGGACATCATCCTCTGACAGCACATCAGACACCTGTGGGCAGTCATCGAGTTATAAACAATGAATGCACATTTCCCTCATCCTTGGCAAAAAGGTGCCTTTCAGCAGGTTGCTTGCCACACGTATTTCAGCAGTGGGTTCAAGCAAGGTCTGGAAAACAGCACCATAAATGTGCATATTGGACTAATCAGTCACAAGACATGTGGTCAATTGCACCCTTGATCACCACATCCTGTTCAGCAAAACAGCAACCAACGGTGGACATCTGGTAACAAAAATAGCTTCATACATAACAGTGGATAAAGCATGGCATGTTTAAGGCTTCAAATGCATTACTTCCTGCCCATGACAACAAAGACAATACAGTGGTGTGGCCTTCTCAGTTTTCGGACATACTGCTGCTAAACTTGCCGATTCCGCATGAACTCCTGACACTCCTGGACACCACCAAGAGTTCAACCTCAAAGGTGCATGGGCGACGCTTTGCCAATTCCCCACAAATGTAACAAATCAGGAAACCCAATTTTCAGGACACACACATCCACTGCCACAAAATGTCAACCTGAAGAAATCTTATGGTATCCAAAGTGCATCAGTTTGCTGTGTGATGGTGGCCAACTCTCCAATAGGTCGCAAGAACATTGCGCTTCCACAGCGCAGCATTTGCCACCCAACAAGAGAGCACCCAAGAGAGTCGTCGTTGGACTATCAGATACGGCCGATCGACGCTTTTCCTTTTCAAAGAGAGGAGGAGGATTTAATGTTAATTGGGTACACTTCCGTCCACAAATTTGGTCAACAACGACGCGATAAGAATTGTCCATTCTACAAGGCCCAAGCACTCTCCTGGCCAGCTCCATGATGCGAGCATGGACTATTCCCGAAGAGAATGCAGCAGCGGCCGCGCCTCAGATGACACAACACCCAATGTGCAGCGAGCAAGGCAGACAATGAGGTCCAATGGCCACAGTGCACGCCATTGCCATCATGGCCCTTCAACCCCCCCCTTGCTCACATTCTTCACTTCCGCCAGCGACACCTCCGAGACCGGAACGAAGCCGACCTCCTTCTGCCCGTAGTCCACGTACGCCCCCTTCTGGTCCACGGCGAACACCAGCCCGCTCACGACGTCCCCCACTTGCGCACGAGGCTTGCTCTCGCTCAGCAGGGCATCGAACTCCTTGTACAGCTCGTCGGAATTGACATCCAAGTCATCATCCAGGAACTCAAGCTCCTCGGCGGTTGGTTCCGCCACGGCCGAAGCGCGCCCATGCAAAAGACGGCGCTGATTGGGGAAGCGAAGATTTTCGTGGGCGGGGGCCCGGCCAGGGGGAGGCGGCGGAGTGGAGAGCAGTGGCGGCCGCCCGGAGGCGGGCAGCGCCCGGGGCTGCGCGGCCGGCCGCATCGCCGCCGAACACCGGAGTGGGTGGGCCTGGCCTGGAGCGCCGGCGCCCTCAGCCCCAGCCGCTTATGGGGAGACTCGCCACTGGCCAGCAGGCGTTCATTCTCGCCAAAATGGATCGAGGATTGGACAATTGTTGCAACCTTTCCCTGCAGGGAACGCAGCTGGGTTGAACATTTGCCCTGGTTTCTCGCAGGGGGGTAAGGTTTTCATTTTCAGATTTGCAATCCTGCACAGGTTTTCAGACTGTGATGTGTGCTGGAATGCGCAAAATAAATGCGCGAAATGTGTGATTGAATCGTTTTGTGCATGTTGTTTTTGAACAGCCAATCGCCTATGTTCGTTGTAAGCCACAACAGTACGATACCCGTCGTGTACGTACCTGTCATGTCGCCACACCCGCACCTCGAACTGTGTTACAAAAGCAGCTTGGCTGGTGACATGTGGAGAAGTCCATTCACGTTCAAACAAGCTGACGGATCGTACAGTTTGCGTATATGCTCCAATGCTCCAGCTGTGCCAAACACCCAGCAAACGATGCTCGCTTCACCACACCACCTCCATGCCGCCCAACTCCACACATCTTATGCTTCGACAGAGCGTTCTGGTAATACTACCAGAATAGTAATATTGCCAAACATTAATGTTTGTCAGCTCAATCTGACACAGCACCGGTGATACTCGATGCCTCATGGTCCATTAAGCGCGTACCTGACAGGAATCGGTCCTGTCGGAAAGACAAAGATGACGCAGGGCTGTCATGAATTCCAGCGAATTTTCTCAATCCACCTAAAAAGAAATTGATCCAGAGCCAAAGCAACTTGATTCATGCTTTGCATTATAGATTGGGGTTTGATGCATTGAACGTTCGTCCCTGTGCGGGAATTTTCGGTCCCCGAGTGAAGAAACTTCCCCTTTTAGCACAACTGCGCTGGTGGCATACTCTGGTCCGGACCACATCGTCAGATGGTCGGCAACGATGTGCTTGAAATCAGTCGACTGTCCTGGATATGTATGCGACCTTGCCAGTGCTGGCCAGTACACATTTAAGCTGAACGAAAGCCAACAAAGCAACAATTCAAGGGTTACTTGGCAGACACACGCCAAGAATGCGTATGGAATGGCTTGGTTCCAGCACGACAACGGCACAGCTGTGCCCTTGCTTGGAGGAGCTACATCACCACCACACCGCAGGCCGGGGGTCCAAAACGGGGTCAAGCGCACGCAAGGATTGTGAACGCAAGTGGTCTGTCCATCAAAGATGCTACCCGGTTTGTGTGAGGCAAACGAGAGCTATGAGAAGCCTCACAATTCGGCACTGTGCTTGCCGCATGCAGCCTTCATTCATGCCTTGATGCCATCCCAAGCTAAATCGAATGGGGGTCTGCGCATCGGCGGCTTTGGCGACCTTGCCCACAGTGCCGTCGGCATGACAATCGAGTAGCACAAGCACAGCGACACGGGTGGTTAGCACACAGCCTTTGTTCACGCAGCAGCTAACAACAGCAAATGTCGGAAATGGACGAGAGCTCTATGTAGTGATTTCAGTAAGCTGTCGGGTCACAGATGCAGCACTTTTACAGCACTTCGTGAACGGGCGGCTGTGATTAATCACATTGCAAACCAATTTCTACAAATGAAAACGAGTACAACGCTTCGACAAAGCATGCAGCACGGTACCAATCTTCCACCCCCTTTGGAACCCATGGATACCATGCCAAGGATGAATGAAGCCCCCAGGTGACACCTCTTCCAAGGAAATTCCCTCATCATTATGCCGAGCGGCGCTGCATCGCCCCTCCGTGTCCCACTGTGCCCGCCCCATTTGGCACTTGCGCTTTTTCATTGGACCCGCTGCGGACATGCAAGAAGCCCATCCACAGGATAAGAAGTCCTGACGTCTTGATTATTCTCCTTCAGCCAGGGGCCTGATCCGTCACTCCGAAAGCTAACAGTCCACCAGCACAGAAAACTCTATAGCCACAAGACATGCTGCTATTTTCAACGAAAGAATAACGAAATAAAATTATCCGCTTTGTGAGGGCTGTGCCCCAGCTGCCACCAAGCCCATTGTTCATGCGGCTTTCTGTCATGGGCCACCACACCTACCTCCTCCATTCGCATAAAGGGGAACATTATTCTTCTGCAGCTACCATGGACACAAGTGCTGTAGCACTCCTTGACACCACCACATCAAAGTGCCATTAAAGAATTCGAATTGGTGACCATCATGTCCAAGTAGTTTGCCACCTGGCAAATCCCATCAAATAGTGACACGGCTCAACGGATTGGAAAGACACGTCCGATCCTCACATCCCTGGGACACCGGAGCCATATTCCACAGGGGCAAACACACTGTGTTCGAGACAGTGGCCCCTGGATACCGTAAGCATCGAGGCAAGGCGTTGGGGCATGCCCAACAATACACAGTGCATTTCTGAGCATGCGCTCCCGCTCAATCTTTGAGTAAAAATGAGCCTGAACTCGAAACCATGGGCTGCCAATAACGCAATCACCATACCCCAACCTGCGTTCCTACTCCAAAACATCCATCCATGAATGCCCACGTTGCTGACTACAGGGCCATTTCCACAAGATCCAGCAGCCAATGATCAACCAACATCCAGACAGCCATAAATTAGCGGAAAATCACGAAAACCGTCGATTTCTATTCCCAATCAGGCTGAAGCACACTGCGGGGGGCTTCCGCTACTCCCTGAGTATGCAGGTGCTGCACCAAGCCAATCGGACCCATTCAGTTTGGCAGTTGAGCCGGCACACGTCGCGCTCTCCGTAGAGCGGCAGAGCTGCCAAATTTTGGTTGGAGACTGTCTGTGTGGCAACTCATTCATGCTGGTCATGGGCGTCTTGACAGCAACGATCACTGCCCTGCCTGCTGCTGGCACTTTCCTGGCTGCTGCGGATCCAGACCCAGCCTCCGCTCCTGCTGCCTCAGGCAGGCCACAATCCAGCAGACCTTCAGTGGCGACAGATTCGCTCTCTGTGTTTGAGTCTCCAGCATGTGCTGCTGCAGTGATGGCACTTTCTTCGAGACAATTCTCGATCCTGATATTTTGCACTTTTGGCGCAGATGGAACCACTTGCACCGCGGCTACCTTGCGCAGACTCGCTGCAGGCCCATTGAAGTGAATATGTGAAGCATCCAGAGATGCACTGTCAAGGTCTGCTTCCCTAGGTGCACAACTCTCCACTGCTCTCTCTTCGGGGGTAAGATTGTTCCTCGTTGCCCGCACGATGAAGTTTGCCATATGTTGCCATAAGTCTCTTATTCCTGATGTGTTTGACAGGAGGTTGCGGCCAACCAAGTCTTGATGAGAGATGTAGCTGCCATGCAACAAAGCACATCCAGAAGGCAGCCATGCTGATGTGTTCTGCAGGAGTCTGTGCTGTGACGGGACCAGCACATTCACACCCGACGCATCGCTCAGGCCATGGTGGGACAGCACTCCCTGAAAAGTAAACAGAACGGCCATCACACAAGTGAGGAAGACAAGGTCAAATGCTTGCTTTGCTTTCGACTCCTGGGGCGGTGCCCATCATGTTCTCTGACTTGCCAGATCCATGTCAAACACACACTGCTCCTCACACCCTATGGTGGCTGCCTGACGTCACCTGTAAGTTGCAAAGGCTCTTTCCTGCTTTGGAAAGGCGAATCTTATCAATGCGGATATCCATAATGTGGCCATTTGCACAAAGGGTGGCAAATCCGTGACATACTGAAAGATACCTCGAACTGAGGACCAGCAGACATAAAGAAACCAACGAGTGAAACCACCCAACTGGCCAGGGGCATTCGTGTTGATTGCCACTCACAGGCTGCTGACCAAGCACATGGGGGGGGGCAGGGGACCAAAGTCCCAAAACTACCGACGCAATGCAACTGTAAACTAAAACACAGGGTCTACTGTTCTAAGTGCAAGCTGCCCATGAGCAGCACAGGGATGCATTGCAAATTAGACTTCTGGTGCTGTTGATTGTTCCATAACACGCCAAATGCCCAGTGCGAGTAAGTGCACTCACCTCAAGGAACGCATCTGTCCTGATCCACTTTGCAAATGCACAGCCAAGGACATTGTGGGCTGCTGGCATATCAGCAAACTTGGCCATGTTCAACGCTCCAAGGCGCAGTGATGCCAACTGCACAATCGCACTCTGATCTGGCACCTTCCCATGGTGGCGCTGCTGGATAGGGACCACATACGCCTGGGAGATGGATGGGACTGCAACAAAATCAAACCTGCAAAAAAAAGGGCACTGGCATCACATGCTGAGGGGGCAAATCCAGCCATTCAAATCTCAATCAAGTACAAGTGCAGATGCCTGCAGGTGAATGAATGTATCCACAACAGCAATGCGACAACAGCACACAGGGCATGGCATGTGTCTAGCAATTTCAGATCTTTAGACAGAGCAAGTTGATCTTGGGGCTTACATGGAAGTCGAAATGCATGGCAAAGATAGCTCCATAGCTCCATTGTACTGCAATAGCTGCCCTAGTGAAAAAACAGGACTGGCAACAACACTAGCAACTCACGTTATTAGCTGAAAGTCGCTGTCGATTACCCCACAGTTGCTCCTGGGATCCTGGCGTACTGTCGACCAGCCCCTCAAGGACAATCCAAGCTTAAATCCTTGAGAATAGAGATATCTCAGAAGCAGTCCGCTGGGTGTGTCAAGGACTTGGACTGTCCCCCACAGTTGGTGGCCTTTCCATTTGACACTCAGAACCTGGCCACACAGAAAGAACAGAACTTGGGCATTAGGCCACAGCCACAAGCACACCCCGTGTTTGCACACAGCAAACACTGAAACTGCAATCATTGCAACACTATGTTGCAAACAGCCCATTCTCCAATGGCAGCATCTTCTGCAGCATACCTGGTGGCTTATGTTCGCGAGGGTGATGAGTTTAAAGTAAGGGGAAGAATAGTCAGGATGGTCCAACTCTCCAACAGCCGTCTGGTTGTTGATGTGGGTTTGCTTGTACTGCTGCACTTCACGCTGCAGAATAGCCTGAAAGAAGAGCAAGAGCAACCATCAGCATGCTGCCAAGCAGTCAATTAGCCACTCTGATGGACTCACACAGCAGGCAACTGTTAGACTGCTACATCCAAAATTCATGCTGTCCAATAAACTTTACATTGATTGCTGACATGCACACAAGTTTTCATCCCACAAAACATCACAGCCCTGCTCTGAGCCTCAGTTGTCCTTCAGCAGTGGGGCTCTAACGAGGAAAAGCCTCTTCCTAACAACACTGCATCCAGGCCAGGATTCATCACATGTTTGCAATCGGCTTCCTCAGCCCAATCACGTCCCACAGCTTCTTCCAGACCTCCCTCATACATCCCAAAGAGCTCGCTGCCCCTGAGACAATTTCAGCTTCTACCCATTCTCGTGCTGCTGGAACAGGTCATTCCTCCAGAATGGCACCATCCAATCTTCCTCTTTGCCCTGGAACAGGAGTCCCTTTGGGATTGCGTTAGCTGCCTATTCTGTCAGCGGGGTTCGTCTTGATTTCTTTCCAGTTTCTCAGGTCTTTCAGGGTTGTCTGGCTGAGAGGTGAACAACCGCTCTTTTTAAGAAACGTGGTGGACTCAACTATGCCTTTCATCGCCTTACTGGTGCATAGGCAGTGGCTGTCACTTTGGCAAATGTCCTCTACTGATTATCTATCTTACTGACAGGCACCATTGCCAACAAGACCAATCGGCTCTCCAACATAACAGGTGTGTTCACCAGCACTCCCCAGTCACAACGACATCCGAGGCTGTCAGCTTGTCCAACGCCCTTTGAGAGGACACGTACGCATCACAGAAGGCAGCAACAGGCCACCCTGAACCCACCTTTGGATACACCCTGTTGTTGCGCGTCCGCCTATCGGCCTTCGCAACGACGCCGTGGACAATCAGCCTGCCCTTGTTGAGCTCCACCGACGTCTCATACAGCTCCTTCAGCTGCGGCCACGAGCACAAAGCTACCGTCATTCCACTCCCTCCTCCCCTTCCTCCCTCGACATGCACGAGCCGTGCGCAGCCGTTACAACGGATTGCCAAACTCAATCCCACTAGGCCGAACGCAGAACAGCCAGCATCGCCCCAGCACCGCCCGACACAGCATCCCGGAGTACACGCCCCCACTGGCCACCCCCACGCTGCCATGGGTCCCAATCCGTGGAACCAAACCACCCAAGCGCGCAATTCCTGCGCACTCCACGCCGCGCAAAGTCCAGCTCCAATCGCACAGGCCCACGCCCATGGCCCCCAAAAGGGGTCGCGCCCTTGGAAAGGGACAATCGAGGCATGGCGCTGTGTCCCGCCCTCCCCCAACCCCTCGTGAGACCTACCTCCTGCCTGTTGAGGTTCGTGTAGTTGTCCGGCACCACCGGCCCCAGGCGCGACCTGAGGAGCGAGAGGCACATGGATACCTGGAGTCCACTGGGCGCATGGGGAGCGGCCGCGCGGGCAAAAGGGCCAGGGATGGGGGGCCGTCCAGCAGGACGCACCAACCCGCTCGGTCTGACGCGCCGTACAACAGCAACTGGGGGCGCCCAGACGTAATCAAACTATCCATCTGGACAGATGGAAAATCGATTGATTGCCAGAAAACCGTGGCAAGCAACCGATTTTTTCGGCTTCCCACTTTGACGCTAGGGGTGCGCTCGGCGTTGTTTCCTTTGCCCTTTTTCGGGATCGCCCTGTGGCAACTTCCGTGCATGCTTCTGGAAAGTTCACAAGGATGTGGTGGCCAGCGAGCATCCCTTATTTTTCGAGTATACCTTACGTATTGAGTGATATTTTTGCCTCAATTCAACCGTAGATTGATCAATGGGTGTTCAGTCAATCTGAAATTGTCCAAATTGCCCCTGTTCAAAGCCTGCGTAATTTACCAAATCGGCATCGTCTGGGACACAAGCTTCTGCGAGTAGGACCCCTGGCTATCCTTTCTCCAGGCTTGTGGGTCCCCAGATACGTACAGCATCTCTTTAACAGACCCTATTAGGTCTCGTGATTCTGCACCTGTCCTGCCGAGGAGCCAGAGTGTGCACCCCACTTGAGATGCCCCTGGAAATGGCCGTGCTTCCGATTACCAGGCGGGAAGCCTGTGAATGTACAGTCGGAGACGTCCGCCAGCATCTCTAATGAAAAATAACGCATTTGCAGACGCATAGGGGCCAAGCACAACAGCTGATGATTGTGCCGCTTGTTGACCAGTGTCGCCAGTATATTATAGTACATTGACCAGTATAAGACGGCATACTGGCCTGCAGCTAGTGGCGTCAACTTTGCAGATGCTGCTATGGTGTCCATAGCGCTTTTGGATCACAACAATTCTTGAGTGTATCTACGTTGTGACTTTGTCTATTGACTCTGTCTATGTTGTGTAAAGGCCAGCTAAATGTTCAAGTCCTTTGGTACTGATTGCCATCTGCACGATCAAGCTGCCCAGCATACACGTCCAGCAAGTTTCAATGAACTTTAAAGTCATTTTGTAAATATCTGAGGCAAAATGAGGCTGTAAGATCTGGTTACTGCGGGAATAAGAAAGCGCCATCTATTTTCAGTGAAGAATTTCATGTGCAAGGGAAATTTTCATTGCAAAAGAGTTCTTTTGTTTAGGTTTCATCTTCTGTTCGCAAACAAGATATATTACATCAATGGTACCAAGAATTTTTTGTCATGTCGACCAGATTCTCATTGCACAGTGTTGGAGCGCCCTACGTTTCGCTGCCGGTGCAACAAAAGCTGCAGACATCCGAGTGCAGCATTCAACAATCAAACAAATAGAATCAGGAGATTAGGCAGCATCCTGTTCCATGTGGACTGTTCTTACCATAAAAGAGTACCCTGAGTAGATTCCTTTTGTAAATTCATACATGGAACAACAAATAACGGTATCAGCTATTTCATAGCGTTCTGAACTCCGATGTCGCTGATGTCAAGCCTGTCAATGCGATGGTGAGCTCCATTTTCTCTGTCCATACTGGATGGACCTTCCAGCATACACAGTCGACGACGGTTATGTAAAATATTGAAAATATTCATAGGGTAATCGAAGAATAACAAAGCGAAAAGTTTAAAAACAACTAAAGTCGCGCAGTTCTGCTATTTTCAATGCTAGCCAGTTTGTCCCTACACTGGCAGTGTCACACAGGACCGATACACAGCAGCTGTGTGGATAACAACAGAGCATTGACCAATTGAGAATTTGCCATAGGCGGTGACTGGACTTTGCTGGAAAGGTTAACCACTCTGAAGAAATTCATTTATATAGCAGACCAGTGCAGAAACTGAATTGGATACACCGCACGCATTTCTGGGTGATTCGCACAGTCAAGGTGATTTAAAATGACGAAAGCAAGTCTGGCCGAATTTGCAAGGAATTACGGTGTTTGTCCATTATGGAAAAGAACAATTTTCGGCAGCCAGTTTGGATAATCTTTGAGGAAACAGTCATCTTGCCACCTTTGTGGACTTGTTTAGACAGAGAAGCGATGGCCAAAGCTGTGCCCGTGGCGATCAAGAGAGGCATGCCGCTGAATGACTGGCCCACACCGGTCTTCTCTTCTCAGCGACGTGTTCTGCCGCGGAACATGAACACGTGGGCATCAAAGCACGGCACCACAGGTCAAGCGTCAGCCATCGCGGTGGCGATCGAGCTGCTGCAGTCAGGCGGGCCTGTTGTCTTCGCCGTTGCCTGGAAATGCTCATGAAAGCCCAGATCCCTCATTGGCAACTCTGCCGAAGTGCACAGTCCACTATGATCCGTTGCAATTTCTGGTGCTCGAGAGGGCTCAAAACTGCTCGAAAGACTCAGCACAGAGGCGGATCCAGCGCCAGGGAGAGGCTAGGCGCCCAGGCGAGGAGCACGGTATTGCAAGACCATTGCAAGGCTTTGGCCATTGACCGCTGGATGCCAGCAACCGATAGGGCATTTGGCCATTATCGCAATCGACAAATGAGTCTGCGAGATGCGCAGATCTATGTTTGTGGGTTACTATTTTTTTTTGCGACAGTGGATTGTTCTTTTCTGCGACAGTGCCAAACTACTCTTTTTTGCGACAGTGGATTGTTCCTTTTTGCGACAGTGCCCGGGACTGTTCGTTTTTGCGACAGTGGCCCAGTTGTTCTTTTTTGCGACAGTGGCCATGACTAACGTGTGACCTGCTTCGCCGCCCCGTGGGGCACGCCGACGACTGAAACGGGGGGCCGGCTGGGCAGCAACAAGTCCGCCAGGACGTGTCTTATAGCCGCCTTTCAGGTTGCTGGCATGACAGAGAACCCCGCCACTGAACGCCATCGAAGAGAGGGGGGGCCGATGGAGGGGGGGGGGCGGGGGAGGGAGCCAGGGAGCCAGGGAGGCTGGGAAGGCAAACCTCCGCTGTGGTCTGGCCTGTCTGCGATGTTGAAGAAGTTGGGTGTGCGCCAAGGTCCAAGGAGGCAAGCGGGCCCGGGGGGGGGAACAAGCTGCGGAGAGCGGGCGTTGACGCGTAGCTGGCCATCGTTGGTGGTGCGAGCATCGAGGGGGTTCGGCTGCCGGACATACCCCGCCCGTCCTCCGTTAGTCCCTCCTTTTCCAATTGCGGTTCACACCCTGGGTGCTGTCGCGGCGGCGCCTGGGGAGGTTTCGCCCCCGATGCAGGGGCCGCGCGCTGCCTTTGGTCGCCGGTCAAAAAGCGCCCGCGGTCGGGGAAGATCGCGGGCCAATCGTCCCGAGTGGATGGCAGGGCCTCGCGTTGGGGGAGCAGGGAGGGTGTCGGTGGAATGCGGGCCGTCGCGGCCGCCAGGCTGTGCCATGCCGCCACTGCAATGCGCGATTCGGTGCCACCGAATCGGTGGACGCTAAGTCGCTACACGCCAGAGCTGCGGCACTCGAAATGCAACTAGGGCTGCGGACTGTGCGTGGACCCCGTCGTCGGCCTCCCCGTGCCCGACGCTGGCTGCCGACAGGGAAAGGGACCCCTGTCCAGTGGACCGGGTTGCCCAGCGCTGAGGTTAGGGTTGGCCGGGTCGGCTGGTTCCTGGCGCGTGGCTACCAAAGCCACACTTTAGTCACGGCCACTGTCGCAAAAAAGAACAACTGGGCCACTGTCGCAAAAACGAACAGTCCCGGGCACTGTCGCAAAAAGGAACGATCCACTGTCGCAAAAAAGAGTAGTTAGGCACTGTCGCAAAAAAGAACAGTCCACTGTCGCAAAAAGAAATATTCACCATGTTTGTGTGGGTCTGAACACAACGGGAAAAATCTTTGAATGCATTTGAATTTCAAATGCATGCGCATCATGTTTTATTCGCCGGGAGGGCAAACAACTGCCAGCAGTGTGACGCCCCGGTCGACGACCGTTAGCAACGCACCTTCGACTGACCTTGTTTTCGCCGTGCCTCAGCAATGGTTGTGGTCTTCGATTGCACACGATTCAGACTCGGGGATTTGGACGTGGGATGTTCTATGGGGACGGGGCCACCGTTGCCTGGCACAGCTCCTGCGCACCGTGCCAACGGCTGCCTTGAATCACATGGCACTTTCGTCATCGATGGATATCTGTTTCTGAGTTCCGGCTCTGTTTGGCTTTGTATGTTACGGGCAGCACGCAGGCCATTTCAGGGGCTGCAACGGACTGGCCCTCCTCTGGATTGGGGAGCGGGCATTCAAAGTCAGAGCATGAAAGGGACAGTGCAGGCCGAGGCCTGATTGGGATCTGTGTGGGGACGGCCACGTAGGATACGTGACGTGGAACGTGGATGGGCAGGGCGCCAGGGGGGCATAAAATTACTCCCTGCATCAAATCGGTGACTGCTTGCACGAAAACGGTGACTTCTTGCACCAAGTCACGTGCACATCATATCCAACTCCGTCAAAACTAACATAACCTAAAACCAAAACCCTAAACCCTAACCCCTAAACCTGTACCTGTCCTAGCCCTAGCCCTAACCCTAAAACTCACCCTGAACTAAACCTAACCCTAAAACTGAGGTTAGGACAAAGT